GTGCAATAACTCAACAACGCCGTAACCGAATTTCAAAAACCAAACATGAAATGATATCAGAATTCAACGTAGCATCTGAATATGTAATGATATACAGGGCGTTCTATTTTAAAAAATGGAATTTTGGTCTGTAGCACCTACACCAAACACCCTGTATATTTAAAAATTATATCAAAATATAGCTCTCATGAACTTCTAAAACTTTTGTATGAAACATTTTTGTGTATCTCCTTCAACAAACCAGATATTGCCTGTCACATAAAATGTGGGACACCCGGTATAAATAAGCTATTCACTGGTAAATATAAATCAGTTTTGATTGTGGAAAAATGCATACAGGTTGTGAATTAGAAGATAAGACTTATTTCAAAAGCAGTCCAAGAGAGAGGGGCATATTTCTGGGAAGTCATGAAATCTAAGTCACTGACAAAATTTTTTTAGGGAAAACCGCATTTGCTCTTTTTAGGGGAATACCAAAACGTCGCAATAGTGTTCTAGTGAAATGATCGTATGTAATCAACATCACATTTGCATGTAAAGTGGTGCACATACAAAATAGAGTGTCGACTTATTCTGTCGCAGCATAATTTGATATTCATGCAATCATATTAATGAATCTGGAATTAATTTCTAGTTTGTTCGCAGTTGCTGATGCATTTTGTAGTAAATACTCTTGTTAGTTTATAAACACTCAAGGAGGATTAACAATGCAGTTGTGACGTAAGTCAGATCTGATGAAACCGAAAAACCTGATAGAAGACTCCAACATTCGCTTTTCTGACGAGGTCAGATACAAACCAATTCGAAAGTTCTAATCATTTCTTCGGAAAAACCAGATGTTCCTTGATGGACAACTCAGGCGTCGTTTCATTTAGTTTAACAATTTTGACAATTCTGGTGAATATTTGACATTATTTATTCATTCAACACATAAGATGCCAATGGACACAAGCATGGGATGCCACGAAATAGTACAATACATATTGCATGGTAGTTTAATTAAATACACAATAGTTATTATATTTTCTTATTAGTCAGTGGGCTATGCTTCAAGACTGGCAGTAAACAAATTTAAAGAAATGAACTTTAAACGTTCAAGCCAATCTCGAATATACCTACACAGTAGGTTGAATGGACTGAGGCCTATCAGTGACAGACGTCAAAAAATATGCAGGAAATTTTCTGTGAAGATTCCTGCACTGACGCCTGTCGGATATAATTTAACGCCTTGCGTGGTATTAGCCAGTAGTTGTTTTCTGATAGACGTCAGTCCATTCAACCTACTGTGTAGGTATATTCGAAATTGACTTGAACGTTTAAATTTCTTTAGAATAGTTCTTATAGTTATAATCAAGATACTACAAGAAAAAAGTCCACCAGTTCACAACATACAATTTGAAAATTACCTTTAGTACACACTTCAACTTCTCACCTTTTTCTTGGATACACTCATTTTCATATTGAATACGCTGTCTGTTCAAAAAATGAGGTGCATTTCTCAATTTCTATTTCGTCCCCTTCAAAGTAGCACCCCTCAGATATAATTCACGTGTGCCAGCGATTTTTTTCAATTCTCGAAGCAGTTTAAGCTCTCTCAGTAATGCTTCAAGATAATACTCCCTAATATTGACCGTACGACCATGTGGCAAGAACTCCTGATACACTACGCCACGGTAATCGAAGAAAATAGGGGAAAAAATAACATTTGATCGAACTTGGCGTGCTCTTTTGGTCGTCGCTCTCCTGGGGTCTTCCCTTGGGACTATCGGACTTTGGTTTCGTCGTAACCATATTCTCATGATTCGTCACCATTTATGACCCTTTTAAGCGAATCTAGATCGCCGTTGACGTCATTCAACAATTCCTGAGCAATGCTCGTGCAACTGTTATAATTTTTTAAATAATAATAATACTTTTCGAGATAGACTAAGTAAATAAGACCAGATGAGAAATAAAGCAGCACTATCAAAACCATAATATTTGAGTTTCATGCAAATCAGCTCATGATTGATGGTATTCGAAAAATATAGTAGAACCACACACAATTGCATTTCCATTTCGAAATTGTTTCGCGTGGAAGGAAATAGTTCTGTTTAAATCTGTTTAAAATATGTTTTTCCGTTAACCAGCTGTCGCACCCCTACGAACGACAAGCTCCAGAAGTCGAAACTTGTGCGAGCTAAGGATTAACGAGGTATTACCTTCTAACGTGTGATTCCTAACAAGTTCATTAGTTAGAATAAATCATTTTCTAAATCGACTAAATCGAGTGTAGGTTACTAGCATGTCTCAGTGTTTTCACTAAAAAGTCAATGAAACCATTCTATTCATCATTTTCAGCATGTTCACTTGTTTCTTCCAAACAGAAATATACATACTATATATAAAATCCTAAGGTTGAGTCCAATTCCTTTTATGTCACATAACAAAGAATTCTAATCGGTTAACCAATATTGTTATTCGCTGTAACCAATTAGTTTTAAGGATGTTATTGGGGAAAGCTCACTACTTAAGGAATGAAGAACGCTTCATGTGATTAATAGAAAAAGTAAAAAACTGATTCATGCTATATTCTCTGTGAGTGGAGAAAAAATATTTGTTCTTGTCGTTCATGTTGCCGAATTATTACAAATTCTAACTACATTGGTCGTCACATTTGAACTTATTGGTATTAATCCTTTGAGAACATGTTGCTTTCAACCGAGTCTTTTGTTTATTATCTATATATCACTTTCATTACGGCCATTTTTGGCACGGTGCTACTTACAATATGCCGTTATACAGTAGTTGTATTTTCACTCAGAAACAGAAAAACTACACAACTTCAATATCCAATAACACAAAAGTAAAACTTACTCAAAAAAAAGCAAATAACTTTTCATCACAATCAATACAAATCACTAAAACCAAATAACAAATTCTAACACTTCGTAGCCATTTCAGATTCTGAAACCCTCCAAGTATTCACAAGTGCACAGAAGTGTTCACTCTTGGCAACACACCGACTCATAAACACCTCTTCTGACGCCACAAATATTTTTAACGCAAGCAGTTTTTTGTTATTTCTGTCGTTCCTATCCCTTCTTAAAATTGCAATTTTTTTCATGCGATCTATGTTCGAATAACTTTCTGATTAGAAATTATTAGAAAACTTGAGTGGCCGTTTCAAATTTCATGAAGCCGACCCTGTTCATTTTACATTGTTTAGATTGTAGTTTATTTATGACGGCTTCCTCAAAATATGTGATCTACGCAAAATCATTAAGAACGCGGTCTATTTTAAATGTAGTTGTGGTTATGCTAATTGAACTATTTTTAAAATTCACTCACCTCAGACGTGCAGCTAGTGGCACCGGAACTTAGCGCTGGCGATAAAACAGGGACATCGTAATTTGGAGATGCGTTTCCTTTTGAATAGTAATGCTGCCCATTGGTAAAGCTCGTATTATGCGAACCTGTGAGAGGTGGAGCACTTTGTGTCTGATGATTCAATCTGTGATCACAGAGCACTGCGTTTGGGGCTTGGAACGATTCACTGAGATACTGTTTCACTTGGTTCTTTTGTTTTTGCATCACATGGTACCTCGTGGGATTTTCTAGCTTAGTTTGGACTTGGAGCACTTGAGGTGGCACTTCCGTTATACTATTCAATGGCACTTTGATAGGCGAGGGTGGAGGTTTTCTGGTGAGGTTAGGTGGATGGGGAAGTTGGTGTGGTAGTCCTTGAAGTCTTTCTCGTTCTTGCTTTTGTTTCTGTTGCTCTAGAAGGGCGTGATCCCGCATCAGTTGAAGTTTCAGTTGGGTCCGCGATAGAGGGTTGATTGTTTTCAAGTTTGGAGCACTGAAACATGAACAACTATAGTAAAATTTTCTATCAGGACCTTTCTTACACAACTTTATCGAGATCTATTGCTCATTTTTTCTCCTTCTAAATGATATTATTATGGCTGTTAGTGAATTTAGTAACGTTTTATATTTTCTCTTTGACAATTGTGTACCTACCTATGATTTGATTCTGAGGTGATCAGTAATATAAAGATGAACTCATAAAGAAGTACAAGTCAAGTAAGGTATATCAAAATTTAAGCTCTCAAGTTACGTTTCAAATTCAGAATGCTGTAACGAATGACTCACAACATTTTCGATTATACATTAATTTAAAAAAATAGTCTAAATGACTGAAGAAGACATTATTGAAGCTGGCGTGGAGTTAAAGAACAAAATGACATCTAGTCCAGATGGAGTTCCGTCTTTGTTAGTAAAAGACTATATCACAGTCCTTGCTGAGCAATTAAAAATTTTGGCACTGAGATTGAAAACATTTCCAGATTTGTATAATGTTCCTGCATTTAAGTCTGGTGATGAACTTCATATCGATAATTATCGTTCTATCGTTATGTTTTCAAGTTTTTCGGAGTTATTCGAAATGGTCATGTGTAATCGAATTTATCCTGCAGTTATAGTTACCATAACTTCATTACAGCATGGATAGATCATGGAATTTTGTTGGAAAAGCTGAGCCGTTTTGGTTTATCCATAGATATCATTCAGTTCTTCAAATCATATGTCGACAGAAGTTTGTTTTTTTTTTATAATGAAGAAATTATTTACGACTGAACATTTTTTTATGTCAAAGTATCTTTGTAGCATTTCTACAGTTCACAACAGTTTTTGGCATCAGCTTTGTAATTGTCTCAAAGATTATTTGCAATCCCAAGAAAGTTCAAACTCGCAAGTGTACTACTTCAGACCATGAGATGTTTCTTTTCAGGCATTCCTGTGCATGAATGTCTCTTCTTGAAATGAGGGTGATTTCAAGGAGTTGAGAGAGCACATAATATTATGGCCCTGTGATATTCTTGCAAGTTTTTTTTTCCTCTTGGAATAATCAGTCCCACTCAGCTATGGATCATCAACCGTCCATGTTTAGTAATTATTTCTGACCACTTTGAGCTGCAATTCGATTTACACAACGTATGTTGGTTTCAAAGTAGATTTCAGTCATTACATCTGCAATTTCGTATAGAAGGGAGTAAGGACTATTAGTCTTTTTCTAAGTAGAATTCAAGTCATGTGTAAAATAACTAGTAATTACTCATACCAGCTGGTTGGTTGGAAGTAGTTTGCGACTCTAGAAATAATATGTTAATACGATTTAGCGACACTCTTAGCGTTTTTTTCTTTTTTCAGTTTTATTTTTTGCAAACTAGACAGTGACTTTTCTACATCCCCTCATTTCCTGTAAATTAGAATACTTCACTATAACTGCGACAAAAATTGAATGTAGGCCACTTCGATCGAAGTTTATTTGAAAGCAACCTCGTATACGTCGCAGACAACGTGATTTCACTTTATTAAGGTCATATTCATGAGTTTGTTGCCACTGATTGTGCCACTGGTTTAAGTAATAAAGATTGGCGAATGACGCATTAAACTTGATGTAGCCAGTTTGCGATAGATAAGGATAGCTAACATGTTTTATTTTTTCAAGAGATGTAGGAATATTTTTGAATAGTTATATATTCTTTTCGTAATTTTTTTCTGAAAGTCCACCATTTTCTGTTAATAATATTGTTTCCACGTTTTAATGGTTGAGTAAATATTGATACTGATTTTATTAAACTGTAGGAATTAAAACTTCCATTCCTGATCATAATTTCAATTTATTGTTTGACTTTTGAACACTTGCACCCTTTTTCAATTCTGGATTCTCGACATTGTTAATTTTTGTGAAATTCGTTTCTATTTGTTTCAAAATTGAAAATTGACGTATGCTGATTTTTGCTAGTAGTATTTTTTATAGATAGAGTAACGTTCTTTCAGTTAGATACAGTTAACATTAAGTGACTTACAGAATGTTCAGTTTCAATAACACAGCTTTACAAATATTATGTATTTTCCAGACTTTTTCATTATTGCCTGGACTAATTTGAAGATGGATGTTTGAAAAATAAATTCACATTCATTTTCACAAACTATACTATATAGTGCTGTCATCTTTACCTTATCTATGAAAACATATTCTTTTAGTGCAAGCCGAGTTGTTTAGTTCGTGTTGATATCAAAGTGACACCTAATAATATGTAATTGATCGAAAGTTATATATGTATATCTGAAAATATACACATCGGAAAAGTCTAGGGATATTTTTAAAAATGGCAATAATTTTTTTTATGTTGCCTTAGGAAAAAAAGTTGACGGGTGATTATTAAACGAATGTAACTTACAACAAAATTTATTAAAACAACTCTCGAAAAAGTCATTC